AGGACTTTCTAAGGGAACGTAGCTCGTACCCACATTACACGTGGGGAAAGCCACAAAAACTTCCATGCAGCCAGCCCGTTTGCCGGGATTTGAACACTCGGAACGAACTACAAGCGTTCAGCGTTTTTACCGCGGGGCTATTGGTGAGCCTAAATGCTGATGCATAAAATCGATAATGATTGTTTATATTCATTGAAGCTTCGTGTTTAGATGTTGAGAAAGATTTGATTACTTAAAAATTATAAAGTTGAAATTTCGAGTTATTGTTGTTTACAAGAAATTGCACTCCCGGACCTGTAACTTTTTGCAAAATGTGGAATAGCAGAATCATGAACATGTCAAATTCTTAAATCAATGGTAGTTTTTCGAAAACTATTTCATTGATCTAGACAAAAAAATCATGATCATACATTTTTCTTCCAGCAACCCATCTGTCAAGCTGGAACCTTTATTACCTAATGCTCGATGGATCTCAGATTTCGAATTTTTGGAATTTTGTTCTATAAAAAACCTGAAAAAGGGAATGTGACGAAATTTAATCCCTTAGAATGTGTCCTTCAACGCCTTGTTTTCTGGGATCTCATTTATGAAATGCTTGTCTTCGAAAACCTTTTCATCTGAGTTATGTCATTTTGTCTTTCCTTCGTAAGTAATTGAATCGAAAACTTGACAGATTTTCCCCCACTCTTAAATAAAATTGCATCAAATCGTTGACGCATGGCTATTTTGTTAACTGGAGAGAAGCTTCTATTTTATCTTTCATATATATATATATGTGTGTGTATGTGTGTATGGGTGGGTGTTATGCAGTTTCTGAATACAATTTTACAAAAAGAAAGCAAGATTAAGTTTTCAAACTTAAAGATGCTTATAAAAGAAAAACTAATTTTTGAACTAAAGGGAAAGAATAGAGACACAGCTCGTAAAAATGAACCAGATGGATACAGACGAAATATTTTAACATTTTATTGAATAAATTGCTACCAAATTAGTACTAGTGTTAGGAAGGAATTACCTCCAGCACGTTTACCACTATGCTACAGTGATTTCGCTAATTTATTTTGACATAAATAATCGTATCAATCAGAGTATGCTTATCAGAAGCAAAAACAAGTTTATAGGCTCCTACCTGACAACTGGCGGTGTAGTGATTCATCACCGTATCTTTTTACTTCCTTCGTCGAACATTAACAAAATTCTGAAAACAAAAAAAAAAAAAAAAAAAAGCATTTTCTCATCGTTACCCGAAGTTATCGGAAATAGGCCATGATGGTAACCATACCACAAAATGCTATTGATCATTCGAAAAAGGAATTAATGCGTTGAGCGTTCCGGTTAAAGAGGTCCTGTACATTTTTCGGTAATGCTGTGAAGGAATGTTCGATATAAAACTTTCGCTTTTTTAATTAAAGTCTTATACAAAATTTTCTGTACAATGTTTAACTTTAAATTTAAAAGTTTAAAGCAGAAGTTGTTTGCGAAGGTAAAAGTCTCTACAAAATTCTAATTCCCAAATCTACTTTACTGTGCATAAATTTGTGCACATACACATATTCTGTACAAACGGGTCGTATTCTATACCTATATATTATACTTATTCTAGACATATGTTCTGTACATATATGTACTATATGCATTCTCTCTCTCTCTATATATATATATTTGTAATAATAAAATTCCATAGTCAAAATTACACTTAATTTTCTAACTGCATGTTCTTTTCATTTTTTAATGGCGACGGTCTCTTAATTGAAACTACGTGGAATTAAATCCACAGCCCCGTAGTCAAGTTGTTTTTCCCGCCTTTTTCTACACGTATAGTTATAAGATGTTCTGGAAATATTTAAAGCGAACTGGATTGGCTGAAGAGGCTGACGTCATTTCTTGGAAGCTCCGCCTTTCCAGAAGCTATAAAAGGACTCGCAAAAGAATATCGGGGATTTTTCTTAAATGTCACGATGCAGTAAACTTCATACAAAAAAATTATTAGTAATTCTTTTTATTTACTCCGTATATCTGATTTTGTAACTGCTATTTCTCCTGAATAATAATAAATGGATCCTTGTTTTTTAAACTTATCGTCTGATAATTTAAGCTACGACTACATCTATATTTCTTCGATCTATTTATTCTGGACAAAAGCTGATACATCACATATATATATATACTAGCCATATTATTCTATACATTAGTTTTTTATTCTGTATATGTTTATTTAAGTATTGTAGAGAGATGTGGAATTTATGTGTTGTATGTAGGTTTCTATGGTCTTCTCTACGTTGTATAGCTAACTGATACTCTTTTATCTGAACAAGCTAACAAAATTCCATTCATTTAGAAGTTTCCGGATTTCCACGGTTTCATTATGCTATAAGAGAAGGAGATAATTGCTCCTGAAAACATAAGAAAATGTCTGATAATAATTGCATGCAATCGTTAGAGTATTTGAATTTGCTACTAACTCGATGTAGTTGTAAAGTTATGCTTTAAAGAACTTTAAGTAACGGCATGTATTAGAGAATTATTTCACATAAAGAGCCTTTTTAATAGTTTGCTTAGGAATTCTGCGCAAAGAATGCTTGTAAAATATAAGGAGTTTTCGAAATTTGAAAGTATTATTTTGAATTACTTAATCCTAAATGAAATGAAAAGCTTTTCAAGGCTTTTGACAGCAAACTCAGGAAACAGCTACCCAATGGAAGCTGCCAGTGTCCGTGTAGTTTTAATAGTTTTCTCACGTAAAATGCGAATTTAACATGCCAGTTTCCTTTAAAAAATCCTCCACGAAGGCATATCTCACCTTAGGCAGACAGTCTTCGTGAGCATTGCCACATTGAGTTAATCAACCAACCAAATAAAAGTTACTCTTTTTGGCGTTTGACTAATATTTCATCGCCACTTAAATAGCATTCGTTATTAAAATTGCAGTCGATTTTTGAAAGTAATTTTAAAGATATCTCTGCGAATTTTGTAGGTAAACTATCTAACGTTTTGTTCCTAACGATTCAGATCACGGTTAACTTACTAATTGTAACATGTTTTTTTATGGGGACCATGTAACAAGTTAGATTTTATATTTATAGAATTTATCTCATCTGCAGCGTTGAAAGTGTTCCGTAGTGTTGTAGATCTTATTTTAGCAACTTATATCTTTTTCTTAAGAGTAAAACAATGTGGTATTTTTGGTTAATTTTGAAATATGAATTTATCTTCAATGGGAAAGTGAGTAAAGAAATAAGATGATTTCCTTATTTCTAAGTTATCTTGTATAATACAGCTAACAAATAGTTAGGTAATTTCAGAAAATGAGCATCCAGCAAGCAAAAACAACATTACTCATACCACGTGCAATGCATACAGGCGTTAGCACCAATTAACACAGAACAGGTGGTGTCTGTGTAATAAATGTTGCAGAAATATTCAGAAATCCAGTGTTTTTCACTGATGTGTTGTTGCAGATGATCCAGTAGGAGAATTAATAATCACCACACTCATTAAAATTTAATTAAAAATTTTTAATTAAAAATTTAATTAAAAATTTATTTAATTAAAATCATTTATTAAAAATTAACTCATTTAATTAAAAATTTGCAAAATGCTTGACGATTAGCATCTGGGAGACGGATATGTGAACCAGCAGTGAGTGGGCATGTTGAGAGGTAATGTTCTGGCGTACCCACATCTCCGCAACTACAGAGCTCAGTATTACTTAGGCGAAATCGTGCATAGTATTGTGGAAAAGGCCCATGTCATGTAATATATCTCACGAGATTGGGATTGTTAATATTTCGAGCTGTATCAACGTACGCGAGATGGTATTGCGTACGGCGGCCCGTTTGGCTCGAGTCCCATTCTTCCTGCCATTGACCTATGGCCTTAATTCGAAGAGATCTTTTAAGGTGGGAAATGGACCATGGGATATTAATTTGTTCGTAAGCTTGCCATAAATAAAGAAACCTGTCCATTAGCAGCTTCCTTTATTTATGTATGATAAAGTGTCTGCGCGTTTTGCATGGAATGTTCTAGTACATGCAGCAGAAGATGCATTAAGCAAGATGGCTCTATAATATAACCTGGCTAATCCCTCGTTATGAATCCGTTTATGAAGGTATCAGAAAGTATTTGTATGGATCCCTTTATCACACTAGATGAAATCCGGCAGTAGACTGAAGATCTTGTCATATGCAACTGCAAGACCTTGAACTCTTTAAAAGTGTCAGTTAGTCCGTATGAAAATGCTACATCACTTCGCTCATTGATGGTGCGCGCATTCCGAGTATTTATTGCAATATCTTTATATGTATGATTTTTGTTATCCTTTTTTACTGCAGTTTAACAATGGCAGAGTGAATAAGATCGCTGAATACTGGCTGATATCAATTCTCGGAGATAGCCCACCTGAGGCCGAGTGGTAAAGTTGCTGAACAGTGGTAGTTCGGTCCAAAGTTCGTATCCCGGTGAACAGACTCGCAGTATGGGCGTTTTCGAGGTTTATCCCATGCATAACGTATATATGAGCCATTTTCCCTTATAAAGTCTTACATAGAAGCATCCCTTCTCTTAGGTAGGTAGCCCTCGAGTACTTTGCCATAATTAAACCAAACTAAAACCGATTCCTTGCAAAAAAGTTTGTTTGTATGGGTTTCGTGGGTCTTCCCTACATGTAACATGAAAACTAGTTAGTTTTCCTTGAAAAGTGTTCTACTGGCGCCTCTTCCTTTTTGGAGACATAGCTCATGTGCTTTGCTTAATAAACTACCCATTCTGTGTTGTATTCTGATCCACATTAAATATTTTAAATTTATTTCTACACCTATTTCAAAATACTAAATATTTTTATATGTAAATTCATGAGACATATTTGTATATCTTAATCGTTGAATGGCCTGTTAAAGTTTGGCAGTTCACTGCTATATATATTCATATATATCTTGTGATGTAACTGTTTCTTAGGCATATTATTTTCATCCTCATGCATATATATTTAATTTTTCTTTTAGCACACATCCAGAAGCTCTCTGTAAAATTTCTATGAGATTTCCGAAATCTTAGTTCAGAGTCGAGCAGTCGATGAAAGTAAGTGATTTGCATAATTAACATATTTATATATTTAGATAAGTTCCGGGTCGAAGATTTGAAAGTTGTTCGCCCAATGCAAATATTCCGATTTGATGTCAATGCTTCAAAGTCATTACTAATATTAGTAATGTTGGTAAAAAATAAAACACCTATAAATACCTCTTTAAAATTCCAGCATGAATCAATAAATTTTCGTAAGAAAAAGGTGAAATTTGTATTGATTGTAAGACAAACAAAGTTGATTATCGTAGAATTTATTTTCGTAGAAGAAGCGCTTTCAGTTTTTCAACAGTATTGCCTCTTTCAGCTGCAACTTACTACCGTGATGATATTATAAAACCAAACTATTTCTGCAAAAATAAAATCTAAGTGATTCAACATAATTTTGCAGTTTTCTTATTGTCACTTTTGATTGGATGTGTCATTCTTTCCCATTAAAAATTTTATTATTGAATTATTTTCAGTTTCATTGGCTATGTTCTAAATAAGAGAACATTGATCATAGGTTAACTCTGTTAGCATACAGTTGTATACCTCTGATCACTAGCACATAGTTTGGTATGAGAATCATAAGCAAACACAAAACCTGACATTTTTGCTTGCTGCTTCCTTCGCATGTTATTTCTATTCTTTTTACAGTTCAGTTTTTATACTTTTCAACATTCCTCTACAGCTAACTGCGTCAGTTCGTTTTCTGCCTGATTTTCTACATTACTTCTTTATTATTCCATCTTTCTGCTAAGTAGTCTTACTTGAAGTTACCGTTTCAAACATTGCAACCTTGTATTCTTTGTGACATCAGTGTTGTAATTCTACGTAACATTCTGTGTAGTAATTCAATACCGTAATAGCAAATGGCAGTAATATCTGTTGCATTCTTTGGTTTCCGGCTGCAATATTTACAATTCTCAGTTTGCGCCAGACGACTTTATTTATATAAAAGATCTCACAGATCAGTTAGGTTAAATATTATTGTAAATACAAACAATGACACTGACATGTTTCTGTTTGTATTATTCTTTTTCGTTTTTAAAATGCACGAGTTTAATACAAACAATTTCAAATTTTAAATTTCTTTTAAGTATTTTAAAAGTTTTTAATAGTTTTAACATAGTCCTATTAAATATTAACATTTTCTAATTTATGTTTACAATTGTTTTACATTTCCTTTCCTAGGTGGTAATCATAAACAGGAAGTAAGTAATTAAATAATTAAATTTGTATATTAATTAAATTTTTATTTTCTACCAAACTGATTTCATTGCCAAAATTTATCATTTAATTTTTACACTGAAATTCACTAAATCTTTGCAATAAGATACTATTTGGTGGAACAAAAGTTAAATGTAAAATAAATCACTAATTTTTGTGTTGATTTAGAGAAGTGAGTAATTGCATTTCAGTAATTAAAGACAATGAATTTGTATTGAGCTTTCTAGGTGAACCAAGTTCTTGTTCCATATTCAAACTGAAACCAATGCTTTCGTAATACATCCACGATTTAATCTCGTAATATTTTCACCGTTTTATTATTAGCAAAGTTAGACTCAGTTGAAGTTTGGCGCAGTAATACAAACTTACTGGAAGTTTCAGAAATTTATTTTAAAATGAAATGCGCCAAGATTTCTCTTCCAGTAAATTGAAATTGCTTGCCAAGCAGTAAGCAAAAATGCAGTATTATATTATAGTGCTATAGATTAGATTATAAATAAAATGCTATCAATTTCGAGGACTATCATTTATACCTCCCCTTTCTTCGGAAGGTAAACATTTTGGTTATCCGCACCTCCAGGTTCAACATGTAATGGCTGGTAACTCTCATGCGCTTTGCCATATATACCATAACTTAACCTAACAGAGCTCATTATGTAATAAAACCGCCGTGTTATGGCTGTATGTTCGAATATACACACAATAATGGCCAACTCACGCTTCCGTATATGTGTTTTAGTGCATATGGGTTCACATAATTTAACCGTTATTTCACTGAACAGTATTTACTGGTTGTAAAAAGTTAAAATCTAGGACACATAAACATTTTCCCCCGTAAAATGCTACATTTTATTATTCTTTATGAACATAACAACGCCTGAAAGCCGTAAAGATAGTCAAGTAAATGTTTATCCCCAAACAAATCGTCAAGGAGTTGATGGGGTTTCCGTATGGATTCGGATAATCTGAAAGTACTAAAGTTTCGCTCATAGTTATTTAAACTTTGTATTAGTTTAAGGCTGCTTTCTAGCCTAATTTTAGTCATCTTACATTTGAGAGTGCGAGACGTGATTTTTACTCCAAATGTGAGACACATTATTTAAAGCAATATAATATTATTTTAAGCTATAAATATTACATAAAATTAATCCATTTCACTTTATACAGTTAACCCAAATTTAGAACATTCAGTAGTCTATTCCGTCAGTTTAATTTAAGTATATAGAAATGGTGTTACTTGCATTCAAATGCCAATCAACTCATCAAAGTATTAAGGCTAGATCTTGTTAATTTTGGCTTTACATTAATAACTATTCTTTAACAATAAGCACAGACGTATTAAATAGAAAGATGTTACTTTTGATAATTATTTGATTTATGAAGATTTGGTTTATTAATATTTAAATATTTCTTTACACAAATCGAAGAATGACATCATATCTTAAAAATTGTGCTCTTTTACTGATTAGAGTGCCAGCAATTGTCTTCATTGTTTACATGATTTGTTAAGGAAATATTATTTTATTTAGAGAAAATATACTCTGTGATTTTAAAGCATGCGCTTATCTAAGTAAAATAATATTTCATAAGATGGTTTAGAAATCACAACTTTGAATTCAAGACGAACATTACTCGAGCTATTAAGTATAACGCAAAACGCAAACTCATTGCAAATGAAAGGTATCGTCATACAGTTAGAAATGAAGCAATGAAACAGCTTTTTTTAATAAATATGTAACCACATATTAGGATAGTTTAATAATTTGTAAAATGAGACATTTTTATAATAAATTACTCTGTTTCTTAGTTTATGAAGCGATGCATTTCTGAGTTGAAGTAAACATAAAGAATTCCAAGCAAACCTTTTGTCGCTTTTGAGAAATTTCTCTGCAGGGTGCAACAAATACAAAAATAAGAGAGATAATAGGAAACTAAAAAATATTAACGCTCTGACTGAACATTTATTATGGTCAAGGTACGCCCTGCCTTCCGTTTTGCGTGCAAATTCTCGTCAGAAGTGCAATTCAGTTCAAATTTTCTTTCGCCATTATGATTTTATCTTTTATCACGCTTTTGCTTTAGTAAATTTAGGCATGTGGCATTATCCCCGCTTTTCCCATTTCTTCGTTCTGTTTTCGTCCCTCGAATTCCAATTTCGGGGGCGAAAAACTGTTTTTCCAAAGCTGATAAACAAATTACAACTAGAAATTCGTTTTTGAAACACTGGATTGGTGGGGCGTTCGCAATCAAATCCTTTGATGACATACATAGTGCTCAAGTAAATGTGCTTACGTTTCTGAGGAACCGTAACCATGGGAACCTATCTAACATCTCTGTTGCTGAGAAATGGTTTACCACCATTCATCCAAGAGACAATGGCACAGCTAGAGGAAGAACTGAATCAGAAATTCTCTTATAAAGTGATTTCAGGGTTTTGACAGCTTTCCGATACAACCGATTCTATTAGATGCTTCCAAATTCTCTTCCATAGACATTAGAATTAAATTCCCGCGGGTAATTGTTACGACAACATACAAGGATATCGGACATGAGGACAAAGGTTTCACAAAAGTCACGGATTTATTCAAGTGGAAAATGGCTCTGGAAACGATTATTTCCTGGAATCAATGAGAAAAATATTTTCTCGTAGAACAAGCTGTTTCTGTATCAAAATACAAGAACATAATGCATGCTCTTGAATTTTTATATAGAAATAGCTTTGTTATGGCACAACGCATTCGAAGTACTCAAATAGTTTTGAGCAGTTAGAAAACTTTTGTAAATATATTATTAAATTATTTATTCTGATTTTAATCCTTGCACAGCGTGTGTTTGCAACAAAGCATAACAATTTACAAATTATATTTATTTACTAATACATTTCTGATCGTTGATCTGTATCTATATTTGAACCTATTTTCATTTTCATGTACTAATGGACAGCGGCACAATAAAGGGACTTGCATGTGCTTTTAGGATTAGCATAACTAGTTTCAAGTAGTGGCTTAATCTCTTATATTGACAACATACTGTTCACATACTCAGTATTTTAAAAGCTAACAAAATTAAACACTTTGTTCACTGAAAGGACTGTTGTATTGTTCTGAACTCCTTTGAATCTTAGTAAAAGCTTTTTCTAGTGTACTTTCTAATTTGAAGCTTAAAATGTTATGAAGATATGTAAAATCTCAACGAATAATTTTTATACTCAATGTGTTCTGCACATTTTCGCTGTTCTGAGTCTTTTACTCCGTATGTCTGGTTTGATACCTTTCAGCCTTAAGACTCAACAAGTTTTTTTGCAAATGAATGTTCGCCCATGCGGGAGTTAAAAGGCATAGACTCAAATGCAAAGATTGTATCACATATTCAAATCATTTCGAAAGAACAATTGTTTAGTACAATGTTTTTGTTTTATCACATGATATATAAAACAGCCATACACCATTTATAACTTTGGGGTTACCATGTACAGAGGAAATTACAAAGAAAGGTTGATGATAGTGCATTCAATGCTGATAGCTGACTGATTGTTGAAAGTGAAGAACTTCCAATTTTTTTGCGAAAGGAAGGAAAAATTCGTGGGTCTTTCTTTCAGCGGTAACACAGAGGGAAACATTGTTTGAAACACAAACAAATTATGACAGCAGCCTAATAAAAATGAATAAAATAAGAATAACTACAGAAACTTCCAATGGTTCGAAAGCGAGTAAGCCCTATTTCCAGTGAAATACCTAGGTAAATAACATACAGGAAAATAAATAATATTTCCATGACTACTCCAG